AAGTGACCCTCCCCTTCTTTTGTATCTATGGTTACTAATTTCAGACTTTGCTGCTTGATTTGTTTGTGCACTCTGTAGTAGTTACGTTGCTGAGACACTTGCACTTGCTGCATTACACAGTAATTAATTCATTATTCTAGGAACAGATTATGTGGGCACTCAGACCACAGAAGACAACTTAGCACAGAAGAGGTGCAAACATGTTAAAGGAGAGCAGTGGTGGCATGTGAACATTAAGGAAGACATCTCTGAACATACTAAGCATGAAATCCAAGGCCCAAGGTGCTCTGCTGCCTTTGCTTAAAAGTGCTTCTCAGCAACAGAAGCAGCAAAATGCTTTAAAACACTGACTCAAAAGGAGGTACAAAATGCTAAGCCTATCACTTACCTGCAACTTGTTTCCATCTAATTAACAATAAAGCTTACATTCCCAACTTTACAGACTGACCTGTGCTCTCTTGCAAGCAAGATCATATTTTTCTGTCTTCTATCAACTTCAAGCTTTCCTCTTTCATGTTTATAGACAGACAGACACAATGAACTTCCGAAACAGCAGAGGACAATTACCCTGAAAATGTTTCAATCCACTTCAATGCTAACAAAACCAACCATTTTATATTACTTTTTCTGGACTTAGGTATCTAGCATCAAGGGAAACAGCACAAAAGAACAATCTTCTTTTAAAAAACAGTGACAGACAAGGCTGATTTAAAATACAATTTACTTAATGGAATTTGAAAATTAAATTAGAACAAAGAATCCTTACGTTTCAATGTATATGAACTTCACTACAAAAAAATATTGAAATGATAGCTTTACTTTCTGTAAACATTGTTACACTGGACTGTACTTGAAAATTCTCCTGCATGTCTAAGTTGCAGAATAGTATTTCAGTTTAGATGCAGTTATGCCAGTTACTACTCAAATGGTCATTTTCAGAGTCAACAGCTTTGCAAGTTTAATTGCATACCTCTCCATATAAGCCAGATTACAATCCTGCACATCCTGAGAACAGATGTTTCCTAGAATTTAGAAAAACAGCATTCATAACTGTGTGCATTGCAAAGGCAAATATAAGTTAACAAACAGAGATCTTTCATTATAAAGTCTCAAGAGGAATGTTCAAATTGCCTTTCTGAAATCAGAAAGTTAAGAGCAGCAAATGGCAAGTCTTTAAATCTTTCAGAATATTTTCTCCTTTTTTTAAGTGTAAGTATACTCCTCCAATTTGGATGGCAAAAGCCATCAGGCTATGGTAGATTGAACAATATAGTATTAAACCTGCAATTATGCTAAAAAAATTGGAATGTTACAAATATAAAAATCTCTGTAATAGTACAGTGTACATGTGCTCATTACAGTTGGCAGAGATACTCCAAGATGCATAATTCTTCTGTGGAATAGGAGCTAAATTAAGTTACAAAGGTAATATACTATGAAGAGTGTAAGGTAGTCAAGTTAGTAGAGTCAAGGTTAATAAAAGGAATAAAATACAGCAAGGAGTAACCTACAGTACGTTACAAGCCCCCAAACACAAAACCTTTTAAATTCCAAGTGGATTCATTTCTATGCACACACAAGTACATAGTGCCCATTAAGTCAACTTGTACCAAGCTGGGAATATTTTGTGTAACTTTCTAAAGCTGACTTACACTACATTTGCACATCTGAAGTTGCAATAATCAAATTAAAAGGCCTATGCCATTTTTATGATTTTGTACGTTGTACCTATCAGTTTTCATTTGGCACAAATCTAATTTCAAGGCTCTACAGACAACTTTAGTATTGTCCCTTTACAATCCACTGCCTAAGAGATCACCAACCCTTGTGTGACCCTGCTCATGCATTATGGACTGAGAGTGTTGGTTTGAGCTTTTGGGGGATGCTTTGTTGTGGGTTGTTGTTTGGTTTTTTTCAACAAGCAAAACTCAACTCTTTATGGTATCTTTCAGGGTAGTAAATGAGCAACTTAATTTAAGAACTAGCCTCTTTTCATAGTTGTTAGAAAAACATATAGTGTTTATATATATAACCAAATATACTGTGCATATATATATATATATATATATATCTCCAGAGAAATTCACCTTATTGTTGACACCAGAGTGCTAAAACATACATCAACATGAGCACTATTGCCAATACTCACTATTATTACTATCCCTGAAAGAGTTACTACATGCATTTTCCCCATCCATTTAGAGGACAGTAAGATACACGAAGACAACTGTTCTGTTTTTCCAACATTAAAGAACTGCTCCTGAAAAGCATGCATGAGTTTGGGTATAAAGCAATTAAGACCACACAAAAGTTACTTTGTGGCTTTAAACTCACTAAAGCTAAGTTTACTTTCCGTAGATGTTCCACTTAATGTAACTCATTTAAACGCAAAAGGGAAAACTTTCAAGTGCTAGAACAACCATACAGACAACTGATAGACTAGACTAAATAAGTTCTCATTAAAAAATATCATCACTACATAGCCACAAGGCCAACCTTCATTTTTGGCAACCTGTATGCAGACAATTTATACTGTCAAGACTTGTAATTTAACAGTTAAGAGACCCTCTCAGCATGGAACTCTACTGTTTTCTTCATTATGACACAGACCTCCTCAATCTTTAAATATACAGAGTTTGTTTTAAAAATTACATTTATGACTGCTTTCAAAGAAAGGCTTTATAAAGTTTTAATTTTTTTGTCAGTAGATATAAAGGCTGGCACTCGGGTAACAAAGATTATCTGGACCTGTAAAGGGTGTGTTATATACAATACATATTTCAGGTTAACGTTCCATAAACATTCACACAGAACCTTACCAAGGGTAACAGTATTCTGGTTTATATTCGTGCTTCACTGATAGCCTTTACTCATCCCTGCATTGTTTTCTGTTTTCACAAGGAGAAAACAAAACACTTCCCTGTAAAGTAAGGAAAGACCATTTTATGGCTAAGAATCCAAGAAACAAGGCAAGGAGGAGATCATGGAGTGAAAAATGTTACTTGACTTCCCCCTTGTAGCTAGCTTTGTAGGATCTTAGCCATAATGCTTCATAAAAATCTGAACTGACCCATACAGTCTTCAACCAATTAATCTTTTTAGTATAGTAGGTTTTGAAAAGGGCCAGCAATATTCATTGGGAACAGTACCATTAACATTGCATTCAAAAAAAGAAAACATTGGAAACCATATCCTTGCCCTCCTACTCTGATGATATGCTCTAGTATTAGCCAATGTATGGTAATACAAAAAGAGCCTTGTTGTGATGTAAAAGGCAATGAAGACATCTATAGAATAATGTTCATGTGCAGCCAAAATGAAGAAGATTCCAAAGAGATTCAGGACCCAGGACAAGGTGTGCAAGAAGTTCCAGCTCCTTGGTGTATCTGGAAGAAAACAGAAAGTGCTTAACCTTGACTGTCTCAAAATGCAGGCCTAGACATTCCAAGTTTGTATACAGATTTTTCATCCAAAATGAGATTAAATTACTCTCTTCATTCAAAACTTTTGTATACAGGTCCAATAAATCCAACAAAAGCACCACGTAAGTTATAGATCTCTATCAATTCATTACTTCATTTACAAATGCTTTTCTGGATTAACAAGAGCATCCTTAAATGGTTTAGCACCCTGCAAATCAGAATTCTTAGTTCAACCAATTTATTTTAATCAAAATCACGTCTTTTCTATGTTACAAGGAAGAAGATGCAATGAAAGCTACATTACTGTGATTGCAGTCATTACATCATAGTTGAACTCAAACTAATTATCTTTGCTTGCTGTAACATGTATCAAATCACTGTTGGTGTTTACAGAAAGCTACTGGTGCTTCATATATTCTCACTTGCTATGGGGTTTGGTGTTTGGCTTTATGGATTTTACTAAATGCACAGAAACCTCACCAGGTATTTTGGCTGACAGGAGTCAGTGGCAGATACCTAGGGAAGGGAATAGTAACAGACAATCCTAAGTATCTTCCCAAGTATTCTCCCAGTAGCAAGCCAGGAATTCTAATTTCTTGGCTCACATGTTCATTGAAAAGTGCCTTATTCCTCCTTTCCTCACTGTGATTTGACTGTCACAAACCTGAGAAAGAGCAAAGCAATCCGAATTTTTATTGTTTGCTTAAATGTTACAGTTTGAACTTTTTGAGGAGGTCAAGGAGCAGATATTCTTAATACTTAAGGACATTCAAATGTTTACACTCTCACACCTCTGTACATATTCTTAAGGACATTTAAGTATTGACACTCTGTACTCACATTCTGTGACAAAGAAGTTGAGCATGGTCAGGACAACAGTGTGACCACTGAACATATAATCTCCACATGTATGCACTCCAGTCAGAGTCATTCCAAAGCCACTCCATATTGCAAATGCCCGCTGGAGTTTTGCCCAAACATTGCCATACAACTGAAAAACAGTGATATTAACCTTTACTAAGTTCCAATTCCACTGCCCAAACAGTATATCCCTAAAGTTAGCTGTACTGCACTATGTTTGTTTAATACCATTTATCATGTTGCATCTTTTATTAAAATGCAGGTTAGCACATCTTTGGATTTCACCGTGGCAGTGAGTCACATTAGTAACTACAATTACTAATTGTATTCAACATACAATTAGTAACATACAATTCAACATACAATTCACTCTTATGAATACTGGAATTTAGAGCAAGTATTTTATTCCAAGTGATTTACCCACACAGCCTGCCACCTTTTTTTGAATGTGTTCAGTCTCCCAAATGTATCATTATCAAGCTTTCCATTTGTTCAGCTCAAACCTCTCCTAACTAAAAGTTAGGATGAAATCATAAAATCCCATGCTCTAAGAATATCCCTTATGAGAAGGGTTGAAATAATAATAGTTTGTTGGGTTTTTTTCCAAAACCATGCAACCAACAAAAGAAAGAAGCAATTACTTCCCTTTCAGTCTTTCTTCATGAAGTTAGTAGCTTAAGTGCACCCACCTCTTTGAATGTTTTACAGTGTGAAACATTCTGAGCACCCTTCCCCAAATAACCATATACTCTCCAGAGTGGCAAGTGCTTCTAAGACCCCCAGGGATGTTTGCCTGCCTGTGCTAATTAATGCAAGACAAGGAAACGGGAGAGAAACATGATGCTCTTAAAAAACACATGTCTAACACTATGGTTACAACAATCTTAATCATGTCTTAAATATTTTTTTTACAAAAGGAAACAGGAAAAATAATTTAAAGCACTTGAAGTTCTTACCTTTCCAGTACACTGCAAGTGCTGTCCTGGCACCGAGAGTGAGGTAACAAACATTGTAATGCAGCGTAATAGAAACACTGTCCCCATGAGGCTGCACAGCCTGCGCAGCAGTATAGATCTGGGAAGAGCACACAGCAACTGAGATCAGGGAAGTTATGATAAAAACATTTCACCTCACTCCACCTTAATCCCATTAAGTCCTGTCATCATCACTGCAAGTTCCACAACATTTTTTTTTTTCCAATGAAGTAGTACTGTAAAAATAAGGTTCCACATGACAGGGTGAGACATTATAACAAGCTGTCACCAAAAGTTACAGCTCCACCTCTGCAGCTACTCTTGTGCTAGCTTTGGCACTCATACCTTCTGTTGGCAAGCTGATAAAATTCAATGAACCCGGGAAAATTTAACTTAAAATATGTATGAAGACAAATGCATTTTCTATCCCTCTGTGAACTGCCAGGCTGGTTCAGACATCCTGTGGCAATTAATTCTTGTAGCATTTTCTTATATACAAAACAGTTATAGCTTGAGTGTATATACTGACAACTCTCTGAAATACATATGTTCTGAAGGAAATTATTTATAAATATGGTAGAAAAGTAAATTCAGATAATTCCTTTGATAGATTCACAAGCCATCATTCTTGATTAAATCCTCCCTAATCAATTTTAACAGCAACATAATAGGAATTGACAAGATTCGTACAAAATGGAACTTCTTAAACAATCATAATAAATTCTTGTTATGGTCTTTTCTCTGCATCAAAGTACCAGTTAATTTGGATTTTATAAAATCTACCTGTGTTTGTGAAGCAGAAGAACCAAGAGCCAAATGTAGCAAAGAATTACACCACATACTTCAGTCATAGCAAAAGCCCATGGTATCCTAGGGACGCTAAAAAAAAGACAAAGCAAGAAAATTAATACAAAAGCTTAATTTTTTTCTCAGTCTTGGTACTGAAAATAAGGGTATGTGAAGTTCTAACCTCAAAACTAATTTGCATTCATCTGACAACAGTATAAACTGCAGCCAAAAATACTTTTGTTAGGCTGAATGAAATAGAACTTGAAATGTATTCAGTTCTGTTATCTTCTTCCTAATAATGTGCTTCCAGTTTACACAGAAATCACTAAGGGAAAATCTCTAGTATGCTCTCTTAATTTACATGTGACTTACTAACAGGATGTGTTCCTCTACTATTGTTTCACACAACCTTTTTCATTCTGACAAAAACTTGCATCATGTCAATTATGCTGCTTATGCTTGCAAGAATGCCATGACAATGCAATGAATTAAATGCTGCAAGGCCAAAAACATTAAACACTTGTAATGAAGCAGAACTGCAAAAAAAAGTATCAGGGAAAATAGAAATTGTTTTCAAAACTTCAGTGATAATCACTACATGAAAACATTTCAGCCTTCGCTGTCAAAAGATCTAAGACCTTGCCCTCATAAGGCACCAGTAACAATTTCCACTCTTCAGTCACCAAAATACAGATCAACAGATTTCAAGAGAGGCTGATCCTTGCAGTTTTTTGCTCCCCCTGATACAAAGGGGTAGCAAAGCACTCAAATATGAGCTTTGTAGTAATCCCCTGTCATTGTTCCGTGAGCTGCTGCTTTCTGGCCTCCCCCATCCTCCTGCGCACTGAATACCATGGGAGCACCCTGGGAACAAATTCCAGTAATGCCACAGCTCCTGTTCTTGCTCCCCTCTTACACTCTGCTGGACGTGGTCTGTCCTTGAGGAGTTATCTACAAATTTATGGAAGATTCTGCACACTTATTCAAATGATTAGAGTATTACTGACTTCTTGGAAACCATTAATGAAAATGGAAATTACTGGTAGGAACAGGAAGATCACAAAGGCTGAACTTTTTAACAGTTTAACTCATCTTTTAAAACTCTCTAGGCAGTTAAGTTCTCCATGGTGCAAGTGCACTTTCTCAAAAGGAACATTTATCCTCTATTAAACTGGTTGTCAATGACCAGAATTTGACCTTTGCCGTTGTGTCTCTTCTATGCCTGAAGTGAAATATTTTCTTTAAAAAAACGAACAGGTACAGCATAAGTCACAACAGTGGTTTAATAACCTGTTAAAAGAGATGCTGGTCTTTTCATTCAACTTCAGAGTTTCCCTAGACCATCTTCAACAAGCTAACAGTGGGAAGACAGTAAAAATACAGTACCAATGCTGTTCCCTTTCAATTTTCTTTCTCACTCACAGACCAAAATATTCCTTAATCCAAAGATTTTTTTATATCAAGACACTTTAAGCTTCATGGCAGAAACTGGATTTCAGAAATTGCATATGGCTGCATATCTCTGCCAGCTGACCATCACACTTTTTACCAGAATGCAAGGATGGATGAAGTAATTACTGTGTTGTAATGAGTTTAAGATGTACAACTAAATATAAACTAGGTAGAACAACAGCTCAATTTATTTTCCCCTAAAACCAAATCTCTCCATCTAACTGAGCCTCATTTCCATCTCAATAGAAGGACTTACTAGACTTTTATTACTATTTTGCAAAGGCATCTTCTAGAGCATACGACACTTTCTTCCAGAGCATATGAAACTTTGAAAACAGAGAAAAGACAGCCTATGTTTTAACCATCACATTACTATTTTGTTTAGAAAGAAAATGTCTTACCTATCTAGAAATATGTCTGGCAGAGGTGGATATGTTTGCATGTCAGGCACTCGCTCGTGTACTATCACCATGACAAATGATGTAAAGCCAAACACTATGAAGACATACACACAACTTAAAACTGTCTTCCAGTACTCTGGGTCCAGTCTTCGTGTGGCATGTTTGTTTTTTCCATTTGCATATTGATACTGATCACCATTCAAGTCAGTAATTGGTCCATCATAGTCCCGAGGTACTTCACCATTACAAAACCAATCTGCCCCCTGTAGTGAGCCAGCTGGGCACACTGTGCCAGCGTGGCCATCACTGGTGTAACCCAGCTCTTCCAGGACGTCGACATGCTGCTTCTGCAGCTTGCGGATGGACAACATCAGCCTCTTGATATCCCCCAAGATTTTGATTTCCAGAGGAGGGGATCGCAAGTCATACTCGGTAAGTGTCAGCAGGGTAATTCCATCTAGCCTGTGTCTGTTGCACAAAAGATCCACGTATTCACAGAAGCCTTCTTCCTTCAGCCACTTGGCCACGTTCTTGGTAGTCCAGCGTCGAATGCAGAGCTGGTTATTGCCCGCCATCCTGCCCCCTTATCCGCCGATCACACTGACCTGCTGCACAGAGACAACACCAGAGTGCTTAACACACATCACTGACGTGCCACTGTCTGTTGTGCAATTTTAGATGCTTAATTAGCCCAACACATTTTACATAAGAGGCAGCTAAAAAAACAGATCTAATTTCTAAGGTAAGTAATATTAAAATGACATTTTTTTATTCAAGAAAAACTAAATTAAGATTATCTCATTTGCTCCTAAACAGAAATCTAAACTTTCCAAGAAACAGAATATTTCCTAGATGTATTCAGTACACAGTTCTAATTTTGTTATAAATAAATAAATAATTCCCACTTTGTTAATTACATTAGGCAATGAAAATCAAATACTATTCTTTAAATACCAGCTTAATCATTAGACTTTTCCACTGTTTGCAGTTCATCAACTACATGAGCAAGTATAGCCAGCAAACACACAAAACTGAATTAAAGCTGAAACAGTACATTTCAATACAGTTCAATATATCCCACTGTTTTAAAATACATACTGAAGCTATGATGACATGACATTCCCCCACTCGTTCCAAGTAAACCTAAGCCTAGATATCTGCAATAGTATTGAGCTGAAGTATCTTAGTTGTATGATGATGGTACAACCATCCTATTTCTTTGTTTGATCTCGGTAATTAAGATACTGAATTGTGAATCCTTTAAAATACACAGCTTTCAAAAATTACATTACTAGAAATGAAGCACTGGTTTATGCTTCAAAGCATTTTTAAAATTGATGTGGTAGTAGATAGCATACTAACACACCAAAACCAGAAGAGTTGTATTCTCTTCATACAGATTTCTCAATAATTGTGTTCATTACTCTAGAATATTGCGTGAAGGAAGGAGAGACAGCTCAGCAACATTTTAGTCACATGGTGGTGACAAATCACCAGAACAACAACCAGGGAAAAAGTTAACCACAGGACACTATGTGGAACATGACAGAACTCTGAAAGGCTACCAGTGAAGTAAAAGCACTAAAACGTTTATGCAATATTGAAGACCCACAGCAGCAGAGAATGGATTTGTGCATAATTTATACTTGGTGGCTCATGTACAGCTACCATCTAAGAAACAGCTACAATTTCACAGCTCTTTTGTACTCAAAAAACAGTCTAGCTAACTTCAATCGTGCCAACCGAATCTCGGAAAATACAAGGCACTACAATAAACTGCTGCCACATTATTCAAGGCTTTCAGAATGAAAGCAAAGAAAAAGTGTATTTAATCTATTATTTAGCTTCTGTCTATAGTAAACTCAAACCCATATGAATATTCAGCACAGTTCTCCATCTTTTTCAGGAGTACAGCTCTTCCAAAAACAGAACATCTTTCCTTCTCACTTCTTTTTTTAAGGAGGTACAATACCCATTGTGCTCTTAATATAATTACTGGGTGCAGCGTTTTCTTCTGCCTTTCATCCAGCAGAACCACAAACTATTTTATACTGTATCAAAGAATATTCAATTTCCCAAATGAGATTTCCCAGCAGTGAAAAATTAATATTTTAGAAGAAAAATGAGCACACAAATCACACTTACCCTTCTAAAATAATTAAGGGCATGATACTTCTTAAGATATTCTCTCAGGATTTGATTGTATATTAAGAACATGTACTTAATTCATTGCTAAAACTTCTCAATACTTCACACACTGTCAATAAGTACATAAGTTTTAATACTTTGATTTAAATAGTTGCCCCCCCCAAAAAAAAAAATTACTAGAATATCTGCATATGCTATATGCTTCCTTCTCCATATAAAAGGGTATTTTCTCATTTTTATGTTATCTTACTATTTTTGAAACTGTAGCTCAAAAATAACTGTAATAATTATTTTGGTTATATGGCTAATAAAATAAACTATGACATTTAATTCAGTTAAATATCCCGGCCCACTCCCCCCTGCAGTGGGATGGAGGGAAGAACTGTAAAAATGTAAATCCAAGGGGTTGATATAGGAACAGTTTAATAATGGTAATAAAGTAAAATACAGTAATAATAACAGTGGAAATAACAAAGAGAGAAGAACAACTCCCGAGAAAGACAAGTGATGCACATTATAACTGCTCAGCACCTGCTGACCTTTGTCCAGCCAGTTGCCCAGCAGTGGTCAGCCCTCTGGGCCAACCTGCCCCTCCATTTATATACCAAGCATGGTATGGAAGGCTCCTTTGGCCAGGTTCAGGTCAGCTGTCCTGGCTGTGTCTCTACCAGCTTCTTCTGCCCCTCTCACTGGCAGAGCAGGGGAAACCAAAAACTCTTTGACTTAAGGTCAGCACCACTGAGCAACATCTGAAACATGTGTGTATTATCAACATTGTTCTTACACTAATCCAAAACATCCAGTAAAAATAAACAAACTTGAGTTGCCTATCTGAACTTCCAGCTTTCTTTACTCAGAAATAAATACTGAAAAAAAAGTTGTTAATCACAGTGAGTTTTATAACATAGTAATCATGATGGGTTTTCTAAAGGCAGTGAATGTCAACTCACCACAAATACAATCAATTTACTGATACTGTCATGTAATCAAAGCAACTTCTGAGAACAAAGGCAGGAAACTGTCCCTAACCTAAGAGAATTCTATTCATGTGTTACAAGTCAAGTAGCCTAACAGCAGCCTAGTCTTCCTTCATCTGGCATTGCTGGAATGAAAATCAACCCTTACTAAAGGTGCAATAAAAGTAACCTTACAACACTGAATGAGCACACCCATCAAAGGTCACTATGGGCTGGACCTGAGAGAAAGTCTCCATTAACCTCAAGATGCAACTGATAGGACTTGCTCTGTTTTCAAACACTGCCAACAAGAGAACACTTAACCAATTGGAAAATATAAGGAAATGACCACAAAACTCAAATTTAAAACATTCGACAGAGCAGGTAGTTAATTTTGTCTCAACAGCAACAGGTAACTCATTTTTCAATGACAAAGAAACTTCTTAAACCCTGAAACTGCCTTCCCTTTCAGACTACTCAACTGGTGATAATTTTGTGGTTTAAAGAGTAAAAGGCACTTTCCCTAATAATCCTAACACCTGGAATACAGTACAGATCCCTGTGTGCAAGTGCTCCTGTTCCTTTTTGAAGCTGAAGAATGCTGCATAACTTTTACAGCACTAGACTGCTATGTAAGAAGGCAAGTCCCCTAGATAACTGAACCTATATTCTGAAAGGAAACATCTCTGGTAACTACTTTGCCTTCCATATTACTAGTTTTATCACTAAACTAAATAATGGGTAACATTATTTAATGATGAGTAACACACATAAGTAGCACAAAGCAAGCATAGACTTGAGCATCAGAAGGTAAAATATGCTTTTCACCTGACATCAGCAATGTCTGTAACTAGTTAGTTGATTATTTTCCTGGTACTGTGACTTAACACTAAGCAAGCCTGTCAACAGTATGTACTGTGTGTCCCATTTTAGTGCACCAGCTTTTCAATTAACAGCATGAACACAAATGCATATGAACTTCATATGTATAAGTATTTACTTTTTAAAAAGAAAAACATTACTTTGTGAGTCATAAATATTCCTACAATTTGGCTGTGGCATCTTAAGTAATAAGATGCCTCTGAGAGGTTGACTATACCCTAGATGACAGCAAAATTTCCTAGATGTATATATAGAGAAAATTAATCTCCCTCAACATGATTGTCCATGATTCTATTATGTTCCCATCTACTGAATTGCTGCCAGTCAACCATTCATTCCCTAACTTTCCTAGCTTACAGACTTTGAGACTGTATAGAGGTAAAAGTGTGGGAAGTTGAATATGCTTATGACTACTCTAGCCAAGGAAAAGTAGCATTAACATCATCACAGTAACATTAGCCTGCAAACTTGATTAGAGCAGAGTCATAGCTGAAGGGTTAAGCAACCTAGTTAGGTCTGCAGCAGTTAGCAGAGTGCTGACTGGTTTTGTTTATTCTAGACACGCAAGTAAAATCTCTGCTAGCACCATTATTGCTTTACCACCTACCCTCAGGAACCTGGGAGAGCATCACCCCTTGATATTTTTTCCCCCGAGATTCAATTACCACTATCCTGGAGAGGAATTTTAGGAAGGATGATGAAGAACTACCAGATCTCAAGTGATTTAACCTACATTTCTATGTGAAGGTTTCAAACTGCAGTTTCAATACATGCCATAGCAACTCAGACCCCCCCTTTGCTGGCACATCCCTCACCTCAGGGGAGAGGCTGTTCCCTGTAAAGGCTGCTACTTCACCCAAGTGGACAAGGCCCATGTTGGTGGCCTTGGTTTCCCAGCACAAAAAAGCTACACAACAACATGTGCTGAGCCAGCCTGCAATAATAAGGCTACTGTCACGCACCAACTTAGCAATGCTGTGCTGGAAAAAGAACACACAGCACTGCCTTGTTATGTAGCACAAGGCTCAGCTAGTCCGCTGACTCTGACTTACATGAGAAGCTTGTCACCTGTTCTTCCTGGAAACTCTAAATTCTTCCGTGCTTATTTAAAGCAAACAGCACCAAAGATTTCACTGCCATATAGCATACAGTGGCTCAGTCCTTACTTTCTAAATGCCACCAGATACACATAATACAGGAGGTATCTTGTAAGCAGGACAGAAAGAACACATGCAAAAACAATACATGATTCTTTAAGAGTTTTTAAATACAGTGGCTATTATACTACATATAAAATTGATCAAACACAGAACAATGTCCACCATGAGACAAAAAAATGGTATTTTCCTGAAGCAAGAATACAATAATTTCAAATGCATAAATATTGCTGTAAAACTTGCATTGAGTTTTAATTAGTGACTTTGGTATCATAAGTGAGATGATCAGCAGTAGCTTAACTGTACTCAAATGTATTAGTGCTATGCATGAAGGTAACATAAGGGATTTCAAAGTAATACTAATTTAGTAAGGAAGATGAGCTTTTTGAGAATTATTTATCGAAGTGCAGCTTGTGGATCAAATATAGCTCTGTATTCTTAGCAGTCTTTATGTTGAGACACCTCTATGCACAAGTGACAGCAGCTACTACAGAAAGTCCTGGAAGTTAAACGTTTGTCTTAAGAACCACTAAGTACATTTACATATTGCATCAAAATTAACAGAATACATACTGCTCCCTGGCTCTTACACCTCATTTAAGCTAAACAGGTTGTATTATACTCAAGTGAACATTAAGAGCAGCTCAACTCCTAATCTACTAACCAGCTAGCAAAACAAATTTTTATACTACTGCCATAATTCAAGGCACACACAAGTGATTTTTAAACAACTGATCAAGTACTCCGCCACTTATCTTAGAATGGCATTCACAGTATTTCACTATTTGACCAAGTTCTTGAACATTTTACAAGCTAAATATCAGGTGTCGAGTATTTTTTCTGGTTTCAAGTAGTGTATCCCTTCTGTAACAGAATGTTGGCTACTCTTTATCCCTATACAACTTAGGAGTAACAACTCAAGTTTCTTTCTACCCTTTTCTTCCCACACCCTCATCTTACAATAGATTTACAATAGGAGAAGATACGAACAAACTCTCCATCCAAATGAATACCAGAACAATATCTGAAGTGAAACTGTGTTTCATCTTACTCTCCATAGCCATTTACAAACTGATCTTTCTGGTCTAGTGAAAATCTAATAGCCTTCCTCATTGTAGATGCATTAAAGTAAGTAAGAAATAAAAAAACTTCTAAAAGGTATGTGGTTATCAAACAAACATACACAATGTTACATGGTTAGTGGACCTCAACCAGCTAAGTAGGCTGCAAAAGCAAGCTCTGTACAAAGAAAAGCAACAGTGTGGAACTCAAAAGATTACAATTCCTAGGCCAACCTGTATTTTAATAGTATCCTACTAAAATAAACCCCTGACCAGCCAGCAAAAAGAATATCACATAGAAGAGCAAACAAGATAATTTAGAATGTTTGTGCTTTGCAGTATTAAACAACAAAACCTTATAAAACTTCCCAAAATTCCTTTCACTTGGTACAAAAATCACTTCACACTAATCCTACAGGTTAGTTCCACCTTTCTTCTACATTACAGAAAGTAAAAGGAAGAAAAAGACACAGCCATTTCCTTACCTCTGATATCCGGCAAGAAGCACCCCCTATCAAACAGGAGGGGCACTCAAATGCCAGAAAATGTCTTCTGAGCTCTTGCCACTCCAGAGCACAGCATGATCAGCTGCTCTGTGGAGGTGGCACAGACACCGTGTCCAGCTGCACAAGGGAGCTCTGTGGAGACAGAGCAGACATTAGACAAGCTCAATCTTGCCATCAAGTCATCTTACAAAACAGAATGAGCGTTGCACATGTAAAATTTTTATAAAATTAATTTTGCAAACTAAAGCCTCTAATACAAAACCATGAGACCACTTCAACTTATTACAAATGTTAACATTAACACTACCTCTCACTTACCTCTTCCATTAACTTAGGGAGTTGGAAAAACCTACCTTTTTGAAGTGTTGGGGTTTATTAATAGCAATCAGCAATAGCTAAGTGAATAAGGCCACATAATTAATCAGTAATATAGATTTAAGAGACTGAGTGGGTAATAGTGCCAGTAGTTTCAATTTCCTTATGCTCAGGTCCTAAACTTGCACACTCTCCCCACAGGCAGACCCCACCATTTAACCCTGAAACTCGAAGAGCACATGCACAAACCAGTAACAGCACTGTTCCATGCTGCCTTGTTAATAATCAAATCCTACATACTCAACAGCATTTTTATTCAAAACTGACCATTTTGTCCTCAGAAATCATACCGATTTTATTGAAAAAAGTAATAAGAGTATCTATTTCGACCGGGTACAATCGTTTTGTTATCTCACTGTAAGACTGACACAAAGCATCTTTTCCAGGAACGATCTGTTTGCTGCGGAGGCTGACGCGGGAATCAGAAACCACTCGGGTCCCCTCTGCCCCCACAACACAACGCAGCGCACCGGGCCCGCAGGCCGCGACCCCGCTGCCGGCCCCGTCCCCGCCCCGTGCCCGGCCCGCAGCTCCGCACGCCGCTCCTGAGGCCGGCAAAGTTCAGCCCGCCAGCGGCACGGCCGGGCACAGGGCTGACCCCTCCGGCCGGGCAGCGCCGGCGGCATCGCCCAGCGCGCAGCTGGAGCTGCCGGCCGGGCGCTCCCGCTCGGCAGAGATGAGATGCGATGTGCCGGGCCGGGCCGTGCCGGGCCGGGCGGGCGCGGTAATTACGGCAGGGCGGATTTTAGCGCGGACACGCAGCACGGGGGGCTCGTCTTCCCCCCGTAGGCGAAGCTGCTCTCCTCCCGCGCAGCTCCGCGGCGGGGCGGCCCTTTCGCCCCGGGACCCTGGGGGTTCACGCCGCAGCGGGGACAGCGCCGGGGACCCGCGGGCAGGGAGGGTCCCGGCACGGGCCTCCCGGGCAGGGCCCCGCGGCTCGCCCCGCCTCACCTGCCGCCGAGCCGCGGTGCCGCCGCGCCGGCGGCGGCTCCTCCGCGCCCTGCCCGTGCCTCCGCCCGTGCCTCCGCCCGTGCCTCTCCTCGGCGGCGGCGGCCACCGCCACCCCCCATCCCCCGTCCGGAAGCGGCGGCGGCAGCGCCGGCGGGCGGCGGCGGAAGGGGCGGGGCGGGCGGAAGGACGGGGCCCGTGCCGGGACGGGCTGCGGGCGGTGCGGGGCTTGGAGTCCGTGCGGCGGCGGGTATCCCGTCCTTCAGCTCAAAGCACGTACCGGGACGGAATAACAGAGGAAACTTGCAGGACCCTCGTACTGTCAGGCCTCGTATCAGGCAGTCATTACAAAGCATTTCAGTTGCACCCTTGTTCTTTACCGATGTCTGTATGAAAAAGCACTTAGCCGACGGCACTCGGTCATTTATGCAGGGGATCCAAAGCACAGATGTGAGCAGCACTCGTGACTTCGGGAGCTCCATAGTCTACAAACACTACAAATGGAGAGCATAGAAGGAGACAGACAAAGTAGAAGCAAATCCCTCCAGAAATAAATTTATTTTGGATACCAACTGGCTGGGGTAGCTGCCAGCCCTTTGCAACTGTTCGAGGAACAGTCAGAATTTGTTTTTGTTGATGTTGTAATTACTAGGAGGTTCGAAACAAGTCTTAAGTTGTAGCTTCAGTTGAAATAAAAGGAGTTGCCAGTGTATCCATGAAGTCAATG